CCCCCCCCCATGTTACATATGAATATTCAATTTGGAATATCTTATAGCCCTTAACTACCTGAGGAAGGAAAATTTCTATTTAACAGTTTGTCATGAACAGTCTGAAAAAATTACTGTTTCCAAAGGATTTTGTACTTAAAAAGATTATTAGAAGCATTTTATTTAATTACTCTATAACCAGCAGATTATTCTAACTTAAGTTTATATGTAGTATAACCCTGTTGACCTAGATGATTAAACATTCTTTTAATAGCAAAATATTTCATGCTTTTCCTTAATTAAATTTACTGCTTCAGAACTGATTTGTTTTTGTCTTACAACTGTTATATAAATTTATGCAGTAAACTGCGGTTACACTGACATTGCAGAAAACAGAATCTGTAGGTGTAAAGCTGTGGTTTATGACCTGAAAACATATATAAAGTTCATACACTAGTTCTACAAAGAGATTGTTAAAAATATAGTAACTAAATGGCATTAAAATGTAATTTATTATACATTTGCATGTAATAGCTGTAGTCTTATCATATCATTTAAAGCCGAAAGAATGAAAAAAAGTCTGTTAGTATTTGCTTCTGCATTTATATACGCTTGTACTTTATATTCTTTTTTATTAATTTCATTAAATATACACTGAAGAATGCTAGTTTTCTACAGATTCATAGATGTTGGTTTCTATTTGGACTAGTTAGTATTCACATTGGAGTCTCTGTATGGGCTCAAAATAATTTAGTTTTATGAACCTAAGCTTCATGTGTTTACAGAATGCAATAGCTTTGAAACATATGTGTATTTCTTCTGTGCACACCTATATATGTGTAGTTAGATATTAACTAAAAACTGTATTTATATGTCTGGACAGTGATAGGAAATCTGAAGTGCAACTAGAAACCTTTTGAAAAGGAGAATGCTTTAGCTAAACTGGTTTAAAAAGTTTTTCATGAAAGAGGAATCTAGCCATGATAATTTCTGAGATTGAACTGCTTTGACATTTTGACATTGTTTTGAATTATAAGCTGTTTTAGCATAAGCCAATGTTGAGCTTATTAGAAAAATACCAGTAATTGCACCACTTCAAGGGGTTGTGAAGAGCCATGGCATGGGTTTGCCATTGCTGACTGACAGCTGCAACAATGTTAATTTGTATTTGCTGTTCACTTTTTATTTTTAGCTGTACAGCTGCAGCTGCTGACCAATAGGCATAATAAAAGCCTTTCTGAGTTCAATTTATAGATTGTCCCATTGGAAAAAAATTCTGAATATACTGACGCTGCATGTAAAAGTTGCATTCTGAATCTAAGCTAGTTATCCCATACTCCTTTTATGCACAGAGAGGACAGATAGGATCTCCCATCAGGCCATTCATCTCATAGTAAGACAGGCAACTGAAGTGAATTGTCCTTAAGCACGGATGCTAAATAGCTCATCAAATAAGTAGTTAGAAAGGAAATATGGTTTCTTTGCAATTGTGTGAAAACACAGGACAGGGAAGTCTTCTTTTGTCAAATTACATAGTATATCTGGGAAAGCTAGACAAATTTTTGGGTTTGAAGTCACTTCTTCCGCTGTATGATGTAAGAAAGAAACTCAAAGGGTAAAACCAAGTTACAAATAATTGCCTTGATATGGTATGTATCAGTTAGACACGCAAACTGAAGGAAATTAGTATCTGTGTAGCAGAATGAATATTAGATGAAAAAATCAGAGATATAGTAATATTTTTTTCAGACATCCCCTTAGTGTTATTAGCTTAGTCTTAGCATCAGTTGTGATGTTGCCTCACTTTTCCATCATCTGTTTAGGAAGATACATGTGAAAGCACGAAAGAAAATTAGGACAAAGAAGTCCCTAAACATTTCCACTAGTAGGTGTATGTAGGTGTAACACACCATGCTATTGTAGATTTACATGGAAAGTAATCATTCAGGAGTAGGCTATGTGAGAGGAAGATCTGACCTTGAGCAAATGCTCTGTGTATAACTTAGCCCTGAAGTAATCCGCGGGCTAAACTCGTCACTGAAATAAGACTCTGGTTTTTTATGTGCATCAAGTGATCTACTCTGTC